TATTCCCTAATTAATGACAATTAAGAATTATTCCCAATTAATGAAGAAAAACCCATTATTACCAAGTAATGACAACTAAAAAATACTATCAATTAACAATGACTAAGAATTATTACCTGTTAATGACTATTAAGAGCTATTCCCAGTTAATGACATCAAGAATTATTCCCAAATAATGACGCCTAAGAATTACTATCAGTTAATGACAACTGTTATTCCCACCCAGTAAATGATGACTAAGAGTCATTCCCAAATCTAATATCAAGAATTAATGAGCAAATTTGTTATCGTATCATTTCAATACATAGGCCTATCCCTAAACCATCACTAAAGACACGACAGTTAACTGGCATCTACAAATATCACAAGATGTAGAACTCTTCCTAATTCACTGATATCTAAAAATACTAACACATGTTTACAGTTAACCCATTTTATATAATGACTGATGTATGTTTAACATGAAACCATTTTATAAATTTACTGATCTGTAATGTTTACGTCGAACCATTTTACAATATACGTTTCTGAAGACTAATGAGCCCCACTCCCGGTACCCACATCTAAAATGAGTGCAACAGATCAATGTTGCAGTGAAATTCATTCTAAACTAATGGGTGAAAGTGTAGGCCACATTATTCGTGCGAACGGGGATGGTTGTGGCCTAAGAAATGGGCTGGTATTTATTTATTTAATGATTGATTTACTTATTTATGTCTGGCCGTTCATACCGTGCATTGCCTGTGCCCAGTAACAAGTGAGAAAAAATAAGAGGAAGGAAAGAAAAAAAAAAAAATTGAAGAAAATGGCATTTCCATACATACATACACATACACACATATACATTCATATATACATACATATATAAATACACATACATATTATACATACATAAACATACATACATATATAAATACACATACATATTATACATACATAAACATACATACATATATAAATACATACACACATGTATTTATATATGCCTGTGTACATATAAATAAATAAATAAATAAATAAATATACATACATACATACATACATACATACATACATACATACATACATACATACATACATACATACATACATACATACATACATACATACACATACATATACATATGTTCATGTATACATGCAAATAACTAATGCTTACACACATGTATACTTACATGTATTTATACATAAGTATATGCTAGTATACATATAAATACATACATACAAATATACATACATAATCATTTACAGATTTACATATATATTGAAAGATTACTTAAACACATGCTTATACACTTATATACATACATATGTACTAACATACATATATATACTCACATACATATATTTACTCACATACATATATTTACTCACATACATACACACATAAATCCATGCAAAAATACATACTTAAATACATACATATTTACATACATTGATACATACACACACAACACCCTATACCACACCTGTAAAAATCTAAATAATGGTTCTAGCTCCACCACACTGACCCTCTCAATGCCCATTGGGAAGAGACCCCACAAGTCAGTCATTTACAGTACCCACAGAACCCGTGAACAAGTACATAGCAGGAAAGGAAGAAAAATAGGCCAGTCTTTCTTAGCGGAAAGAATACCAATGGATATTATTTACGGTACTCTGGTAAGCATAGTTCTATTCGGAAAAAGAGAGAGAAATGGACTAGGCCTTTATGTGTTGGTAAATATTAAGCCAAAGAATAAACAAAAAAATGATTAATCTATAAAAAAAAAAAAGAAGAGACGATTATACTTGTAATTTGCTGAAAAAAACCCTTTTATAAAGCTGTGGAGACCATCTTCAATGTTCTTACTAAAGGTAATAATGCTCGCTCTTCAATACTTGAATAAAACATACGTGGCCATAAAGAAATCCAAGAGAAAAAAGATAATGATAAAGATATAATGACAACGACAATGCCCGTGAGATTATGAGCCTTCATAGACATATCAGAATAAAAATATATAATATAAAACAACTAATCAAGTAAAAATAACTACAATCAATCTGACTTTACACTGTAGCAAGAGAAAAAAAGAAGATTGGTTCCTTGCCCCCAAGTCTCTGCCCGTTCATTTCCCTAAACCCTCAACGCCTCCCTCGACGCAGAAGATCTCCTGCCACTGAAAACCCTGTAACAAAACCATACCCTTCCCACCAAAGAAAAAAACAAACGAGACGCAAGATCCAAGTCGTAATTTTTTAGAGACGCAAAAAAAAAAAGAGGAACGTAGGCATCTTACCTTCTCTGAAGATCTGTTCCACACCATGACGCTGTGGCCGCTGTTCAGGAGGTTCTTGACGATCCCCGAGCCGATGATGCCGAGCCCCAGGAAGCCGAACTTGAGGCCCGACGGCTCGATCTTCTTGTCTTTCAAAGTCTGGCTGACGCTGCCCACGTCCAGGGGTGGGGTTTCCTGCGGGCGGAGGAGAAGAGGGGGCTCAGATTTTTGTTTCTATGTATGTATGTACATACACATAAGTATATGTGTATGTCAGTATATATAGATACATATACATATATATACATAGATATGCATATATATGCACACACAAATACATATGCATACATATGCATATACACATATATACCATATATACCATATATATACATATATATATAAACATGTATATACATGTATATATGTAAATATATATATGTATAAATATATGTATATATGTGTATGTGCACATATATATGTATATGTGTACATGTATATGTACATATATATGTGTACATATATGTATAAATGTATAAATGTGTATGCCAGTTATTAGATTGTAGATAACATACAAGATAGCGCCCCCCTATAGTGAAATATAGGAGAAAGAGATAGATATGATATATATATATATATAGAAGATATCGATAATAGAAGAGATTGATATATAAGGTAGAGTAGAGAGTTAGAGATGAGATTGGATAATAGATATTTAAATATATATATATATATATAATATTTATATAGGATATACGATAGATGGAGATGAGATATACTATATATATGATATAAGGAGTTAGATATATATTATATATATATATAGATATATATATAATATAGAGGATAAGTATTAGATAGATTAGATTATATTATAGATAGATATACTGATAGATAGAAGATGGATATTAATATATTATATTATATGATATGAATATATATAAGATATAGAATTATATTAGATATTAGAGATACATATATCTATATTATATAGTATTATGAAGAGAGAGATATATATAGCGATTATATGATGTATATAGATATATACTAGAATATATATAGATTATCGCTAGAGATAGAGAGGATATATAGTAGGATATTAGCTATAGAGAGATAGATCGATAGATTAATATGATAGATATATATATAGAGTGATATCTACAGATACTAGGATATATAGATATAAAGTAGAGATAATATTGATAGTAGAGATCGATAAGATATATATATCTTATAGATAGATATATATTATGGATATATATATAAATATAATTATCTATATATGATAAAGATATATATCGTATATATATATAAAGATAGAATAGACAGTTATATAATCGATATATATATTTATAATATTATAATATAGATTTGATGAATATGTAAAGAAATATAGATTAATAGATATATATAAATGATATAAGAGAAATATAGATATAGATAGTTATATATATATATATAGATATATAGATAGATAAGATATATTTATAGATATATTAATAGAGAATATGGATATATATATATTGATATATGATAGAGCTTATAGATATATAGGTATATAAGATATGTAGAGATATATGTATATATAGATATGGACTAGCTCATAGGATATAGCTAGAGGGAGATAGATATATTTATATAGATCATATATGGGAGGATATATATAGTTATATATATTATATTTATAGATATTATTGAGAGATATAATGTATTATATATATGTATAGAGATAGAGGTTATATAATATGGATATATAGAATTATATCTATAATCTAAATAGTATATATATATATCAGATTATAATATATATTTTATTAATATATATATTATAATATATATATGTATGAATATATATGTTAATATATATAGGTATATATAGATAGTTATATATATAATTTATATAATATATTGCATATAGATATATTTATATAATATATTTATAGATAGATTTATAATATATATTTATATATATATATTATATATATATATTTACGATACATATATATTTTATAATATAAGATATATATACTAGATGTTGATATATATAATATTTATATATATCATTTTAAATAGACATTATATATATAACCATTTAATATCTACAGTTTTTGTTATAATATACATTTCGAATAATATTTATGATATATGTATGATAATATGTATTATATATATGTATTATTATATATGTATGTATAATGGTCATATATAATATTTATATAAGTTGATTATAATATATATATATTTAGTATATGTTTGTCATATTATATATAAAAATATATTTTTAGATATATATATATATATTATTGTAGATATTATAATATGTATAATATATATTATATAGCTATAATATATATATATGTAATATATACATAATATATGGTATATAATATATACTATGTATATATATATATATATATTGGTATATATATATATATATATATATAATATATATATATAATAGAGAATATATTATAATGTAGTTGTTAATATATAAATATTATAAATATATGTATATATAAAATATATATGTATAATATAAAAAAATATGTGTATAACTATAGAATAAATATATATGTTATATATTAACATATATTGCACTATATCTTATATATTATTTCATATATAATATATATTGGACTAATATATAATATATTATATGTTGTAGAATATATATATATATAATATAATAGATATATATTATATATATATATGTCTATATGAAATAGATAAATTTAATATATATAAATAATAAATATATGTATATATATTAAATATATATGTATATATACATAAATACATAGGGGGATAAATATATATATAAATATATATGGTATATATAGATATATCTTATATATATATATATATATATATATATATATATAAATAATATGTATAATATATATTATAATATAATAGATATATAATATATATAGATATAAGTATATAAAAATATATGTAAGAAATACTATATAATAAATAATATGATATATATATTATATCTATATAATAATATATTATAAATATATATAATTATATATATATAGAAATGTAATATATATAATATATATATATATCTATATAATAATAATATATATAAAAGACATATGTAAATATATATATAAAATATACGTATTGTAATATATATATATATATAGATACTATATATATATATATATATATATACTAATGCTAAATATATATATGATATATATATATAATATAATATAATATGGATATATAGTATATAAAGTATAAATATATATATGTATATAATAATATATATAATACATATATAGATTATATATATATATATAATATAAAATTAATATATATATATAATATAGAGATAGATACATATAAATATATATATTATAATATATATTATATAATATATATATTATATAATACTAGATATATATATATATATTATAAATATATATAGATGATAATATATATAAAATTTATTATATATATATTATATAAAAGATATAGATATAATATATAATATATAAATAATATATGAATATATATTATAGAATAAATAATATATATATTATATATATATATATAATATATATTATTTTTTTTTATATATATATCTATTATAGTATATATATATGTTATTTATCTATATATTAGATATAGTATATATATATAAAATATATCAAAATATGTATATATATAAATATATAGTATTTACATCAATACATCATGTGTATAAAATATAATATTAAAATATATATGTGTAATATATATATATATTTGTATATATATTATAATTCTATATATATATATCTTATTGTATATATAATATAGATATATATTGTATATATATATATAATAATATAGTGTATATATATATATATATATATATATATATATAATATATATATATATGTATATATATATTATATATATGTATATATATATAATATATAAAATTATATGTATATATATAAATATATATCTATATATACATAAATACATATGTGTATAAATATATATAGAAAATATATGTATATATATGTATATGTATATATATATATAATATATATATATATATATATATATATATATATATATATATATGTATATATATATATATATAAATATATATGTATATATATATATATATATATAAATATATATGTATTATAAATATATATGTATATAAATATATATATGTTATATATATATATATATGTATATAAATATTATATATATGTATATATATATATATATATATAAAATATATATGTATATATATATATAATATAATATGTATATATAATAGTATATATATATATATTATAAATATACATAGTATATAAATATATAAATATAGGAGTATTATATATATAAATATATATATAATTATATATATAATAATATATATATATATAAATATATATATGTATATATATATATATATATAAAATAAATAGTATATATTATATATATATAAAATATATCATGATATTATATATATATATAAATATATATATGTATAATATATATATATATAAATATAATATGTATATATAGATAATAAAATAATAGTATATATATATTATATATAAAATATAAGATAATATAATATATATAAATATATAAGTATATAATATATATTTAAATATATTGTATATATATAATATAAATAAATATAATACTGTATATATATATATATATATAAAATAATATGTATATTATATAAATATAAATCTATATATGTATATATATTATAAATATATATATGTAATATATATAAATATATATATGTATAATATAAATATATAATAGTATATATATATAAATATATATGTCTATAATATAAATATAAATAGTATATATATATAAATATATATATAGTTAATATATATATTAATAATATGTATATATATATATATAAATATAATATATGTATAGATATATATATATATAGTATATATATAGATATCTCTATAATATATATAGTATAATATGTATATAATATATATTATATATCTATATATATATATATATATATGTATATATATATAATATATATATATCTATATAATATATATATATATATATGTATATAATATATATAATATATATAGTCTATAAATATATATATATATATATTATATATTCATATGTATATTGTAGTAATATAATATATATGTATAATGTATATATATTATATATATATATAT